CGCTCTTTTGCAAGAACACCTCTGACAGAACTATGGCTTGCCCAAGGTCATCCAGCAGCTACACGTGGAGGAGTGGGGAATCAAACCCAGTTCTTCCAGATTAGAGTCCGCGCACTTAACCACTACTCCAAACTGGCTCTCAACTACACCAAACGGTGGACCCGTGAGACTCGAGTGGGGGTTCCCATCCCCCCATCACTAAGCCTGGCACAGCTCTAGAAGAAGAGAAGAGATTGGATTTATACCCCGCCCTTCACTACCCAAAGGTGTCTCAGAGCAGCTTACAAACTCCTTTCCCTTCCCCTCCCCACAACAGACACCCTGTGAGGTAGGTGGGGCTGAGAGAGCTCTGACAGAAAACGCTCTTTTTCAAGAACACCTCTGACAGAACTATGGCTTGCCCAAGGTCATCCAGCCAGGTGCCAGTGGAGGAGTGGGGAATCAAACCCAGTTCTCCCAGTTTAGAGTCCCAGATTAGTGCAAAACAATTTGCACTAATACTGGTGCCGCTGGACTCTTTAAGTTTGTTCAATCCGGGCCGCATGGAGATGGTGTCTTCAGCAGGGGAAGGCCGAGACATTGAAGTCAGCCGCAACTTGACAGTGAAAGAAAAGTCAGGCTTAAATGAACGGATGACAGAGAGAAGCGGTATAGGGCTTTGCCGACTTTTGGGTCCCACAGATCTGTTAGAGCGAAGAGCTCTGTGTGTCTCAAAAGCATGCGTTCTTGTAAGCTCTTCTCTGTGGGGATGGAAGCTAAAGCTTTTGAATGGTGCGAACGTTTCATTAGATTGCATAGGGGGTAGTTCACAAGACACCCAAGTCAAGTGCTGAGTGCAAGAGCTTTGCTGTCCTAGGAGGATGAGTAGTTGGGCAGGAAGAGGTCATTTCCTCCCATGAGACCTGGAAACTCTGCAAACAGCAGCTGGCAGGAGGAGTTCTTGCTCAAAGTTTTGGTGCAGAAAGCTGCTAGAAATCTGGTGGAGTAGGAGAGTGGCTGGGAAGTCCTTCGCCCTGGTCTTGCCTCTGACACAAACTCAATAGGTAGCCTTTGGCAAGACATGCTCTCAGCACCCCCTCCACTTGTAATATGGGGATGATAAAACTGTCCTACCTTACAGAGCTGTTGTAAGGTGATGTGCACAGGGAACTCTCTGAGAACTGCCTCTCCACCGCTGCTTGCCCCGCTGGTTGGGGGGGGGGGTCGAAGGCTTGGCGGGCTGCCGGCTGTTAGCTTCTCAGCCCTTGCTGCTGCCGGGGAGGGGGGAAGCTTGGTGGGCTGAGCTCAGGCCTCGCCGCCGTTGCCGTGGGGGGGTGGGGAACGTTTGGCGGGCCTGGCCTGGCGGCTCAGAGTTGCATGGGCCTCGCCGTTGGGGGCAGGCAGGGGCGGGGGAGGTTTAGTGGGCCCAGCGGCTCGGAGCCACACAGCTCTTGCTGTCGGGTCAGGCAGGGGCAGGGGAGAAGGCTTACCTGAGGTGGCTTCCTCCTCTGCGTGGCGCTCCCCCCTGTGAGTATCGCAGGTCACCGCTTCTTGTCTATGTACTAATAGCCAAGGGTCCCATGTGTGTACGGATACTTATTTCCACAAATCAGGGGCACATGGAGGGTAAAGAGACTTTTCTGCACAATTGGGGCACTCCCCAGGTGTGCAGAAAAATCTAAAATGTTTTTAAAAGTATACGGGGGATACTTAAATCCCCCCAAAAGTAAAATCGTGTTCTATGCACAAGCGTACTTACTGAGCCGCGGGAAAACCCTGCAGTTCAGTGTCTTAACCACTTTCTGGGGCCAGCATGTCGATACTGATATGCACCGGTGGTGTAGATGTGTGCACATCGGGTAGAAAAAGGAAGAGTCCCGTGGCACCATGAAGATGGACACATCCCTTGCAGCATGTGCTGCTGTGGATATAAGCTTTCGTGTACTTGCACATTTCTTGAAAGTTTATATCCAGAATTATTTATTTAATGAAATGTCGTTGGTCTTAAAGGTGCCGCTGGACTCAAACTTTGCTCTGTTAGGATAGATTGTAAGTAATGCTGCAAGGTTCAGTGAGTTTGATTGGCAGCTAAAGAGGTATTCATAGAGCACCGTGGAATATCCTGAGTATATACATACATAGGGTGGTTCCTACCCTTCTCCAAGGAGCGCTTCCTCTTAACAGAAGAGCCACAGATTGGAGGACGATTTCTTAGGCAGGAAGAAGGCTTCATATTTGTCCAGTGGAGTAATAGGACAGAAGTAGGATCCACCCTATTAATTCATATTTTAACCTGTAAGACTGTGAGTTTAAAGGATCTCTTTTTCCCACCCCTGAAAAATAAATGGTATATTTATCATTGAATAACCTTAATCACTAAGCAAGTTTTTGGTAATAAGCTAATGTACTTAAAATTAATCCATCAGACTGGTCTGAACCAAATAGCGAAATTCTCTTTTAAACGCTCATAAATGACTGTATAAATTCACTAGTAATAAGGCTCGTTGCAGAAAGAAACACAACGAGCTCTAGAAAGAGGGCCTGGGAGAATGCTCTGGCCTGCAGCAGTCAGTCACCCCCCCCCCAAGCGCCATGGCTGGACCACCGCTCCCCTGGG